TTCAGAGATGTGTTGTGTGTTCAGAGATGTGTTGTGTGTTCAGAGATGTGTTGTGTGTTCAGAGATGTGTTGTGCGTTCAGAGATGATCTTCTGCAGACCTCAGTTGTAACCAGTGGTTATTTGAGTTACTATTGCTGTTCTATCAGCTCAAACCAGTCTGCCCATTCTCCTCTGACCTCTGACATCAACATGACATTTCCGCCCACAGGACTGCCGCTCACTGGATGTTTTTTCTTTTTCAGACCATTCTCTGTAAACCCTAGAGATGGTTGTGGGTGAAAATCCCAGTAGATCAGCAGTTTCTGAAATATTCAGACCAGCCCATCTGGCACCAACAACCATGCCACGTTCAGTTACTTAAATCACCTTTCTCCTCCATTCTGATGCTGGTTTGAACTGCAGCAGATCATCTTGGTCATGTCTACATGCCTAAATGCATTGAGTTGCTGCCATGTGATTGGCTGATTCAACATTTGTGGTAATAAGCAGTTGGACTGGTGTATCTAATAAAGTGGTTGGTGAGTGTTATATGCATGCCACATTTTAGCTGTAAATGTTTTGTTTAAAATTACCAAATGACTTTGTCTGTGTTCACTAGAACATGCTTCTTACCTTCTCTGGAGGTCCATCTCCTCTTGCGTGGGGCCATTTTGAACCTGCTGGCTCTGTCGGGGCAGCGTGGGGCCTGTGGACAGCAAAACACAAGAGACTCCTGTTAGTCATCTTCATAGAAAGGTAAAAAAAGTCCCATGTCAAAAGGCATTCATGCACAGTAAAGCCCACGTCGGACTTACTCTACTCCTGCTCTCCGCCAAACCTTCAGAATGACAGGGTTTTTTTCAAATCAGCGTAAAACAAGGGATGACACAACCATTGTTTAGGTTGTCCAATACAACACATTTTCATTTCAGACAACAAGATCCCGCAACCTGGTTGTCCAGTGGACAACCAAGAAAAAAAGACCTCGATTAAAGTTTTCCACCCCGGGTGTTCGTCATTGTAAAAATGAACGGGAGGAAAAAAAACTTGTTAAAGCCATCTAGGGATTAAACTGACGGTTCTTTCACCCAATAAAGAGAACCACAGTCAATGTTTTACCCAATCAGAACAGAGCAGGGCGGGTCGTGCCATCTGACTGACAGTGCTGCCTTTTTTCCTTTTCTGTGGGTGGGTGGTCAACTTCACTCAGCTCAGGTGAACACCTCCCAGGAAAGCCCTCAGCATTTCCTGGACTATTTTCCACCGAGGATTACGTCTCATTCTATATATATTATATTTCTAAAGGCAGCTCACAGCATTTCCACCGGAACACCGTGTGTTCATGAGCACAACAACACAGAGACCTGTGACCTGACTGAGGGGCAGAGATGGCAGCAGCTGAATCTCTGTACGCACAGCGCTGCTCCAACCAGCCCGGGACTCAACAGTCCACATGTCAACCCATTCATACGGTTACATGTATGATGAGCATCAACAATCGTAATTTGCACAAAAAATCAGTACTAATCACACACGGGTGGGGTGGAGGTGTCCTAAGTGTATCCTGTCTGTGTCCTACGTGTATCCTGACTGTGTCTTAACTGTATCCTCTGTCCTGACTGTATTCTGTCTGTGTCCTGACTGTATCCTGTCTGTGTCCTGACTGTATTCTGTCTGTGTCCTGAATGTATTCTGTCTGTGTCCTGACTGTATTTTGTCTGTGTCCTGACTGTATTCTGTCTGTGTCCTGACTGTATCCTGTCTGTGTCCTGACTGTATTCTGTCTGTGTCCTGACTGTATTCTGTCTGTGTCCTGACTGTATTCAGTCTGTGTCCTGACTGTATTCTGTCTGTGTCCTGACTGTCTACAGGCATTAATAATTAAGATACATAGACAAACTGCACTCGGGATCCAAGCATGAATATCTGACTGTTTTCTGTAAACCTGTGCACGTTGAACTGCCACATGGTATTTCTTACAGCCTCCCCCTCCTGCTCTTCTTTTTATACATCAACAGCTAAGCCATTATTTCCTGTTTTTTTGCACATTTACATGCTGTAACTATGAGATAAAAATTTTCTCACTCCCATTTCTTCTTTTTGCATTTTAAAACTTTACTCAGAACCTTCTCACGATCCAACAGTGCAAAATGTGAATTCCTGCTATTTTTAAAACTGGTCTTAAAACTTTGATCAGAAGTCTATAAGACAACTAGAGTGTTCACTGGTCACATGACTGGTGATTCATTGCAGCTACTGCGTCCACAACCAGAGAGAGCAAACATCTGTACTACTGTCTGTTTTTATATGTTTTAGTAGATACTGTGTAATAACCCTGAGTAAAGCAAACTATGTTAAAAAATAATAAAAAGTTTGTAATTTATTCTTAAAAATAATATTATAATGCATATAAACTATTGAACATTACACAAAACGCCAGAAACGGTGTGTTACAGATGTACTAAAAGAAGAAAACATGTCTCATGTAAGATCTCATGATCTGTTGCTAATGTTAGCTTGTCCACGATGTCACAGATGGACGGGACAGGCAGTGCACCTCCAGGTGTCTAATGTAACGGAATGGACCGATTTTCTATAATGTTTTAAAACAACTCTTCTGTGGTGACAGACAGCTGGGCAGAAAGACTGAATGATCCGGATCTGGGATGCAGCCAAGCAAACAACTATAAACTAACATGTTAATTACTCAGACCTTGCTGTTGTTGGCAGCAGGAGGAGGGTTAATGAGAGAAATGAGCAACAAGAGGTTTCTTCTCTTGCTACACAGAGCTCATCACAGAAAATATATTTTTCCTTTATTGTGAATAAAACTCATTGATTCAAAACAAAGGATTTAAACTCTACCCATGATTGAAGCTCACTGGCAGGTGTTTGTCTTGAAGTGAGTTCAGTCAACTTTAAAGTCACGTTCTAACAGTTATCAGTAGTTAGTACATTATCAGCTGTGACATCAGTCATGAAGCAGATGGAGAAAGGTTACATTGAAGGCTAAAAGCTAAAGGCTAGTCAAACTAGAGTCTGATTGTTTTTTTAATCCTTTTAAAACAACTATTTCTCATAAATAACAGATGTGAAAGATCCCTAAATTAGTGAATATTAAACCCTTTTGCATGATGCTGTTTGTTCAGTTTGTTCTGTTTTCTCAACTTGTGTAAATACCCTAATGTGTACATTTATGATGGTGCCAATGTCTCACTTCACCAGGAGTTCAGTAAACTTGTGACTCACTAGATGTCCTGATGAGGTGGACTGAAACATTCACAGATTCAACACCATTGATGTGACAAACACTATATACATTCATGTAGTCAAACTGTGATGTACAGAGGTCAGACAATGAAAGTGAAACAGCTGTCATGTTAGTGTGGGAGGTTTCATGGTTAAACTGGACCAGCCTGGTGGTCAGTCTTCATTAACTGCACATTGCACCAGTAAGAGCAGAGTGTGAAGGTTCAATTAGCAGGGTAAGAGCACAGTTTGGCTCTAAATATTACAATGTACACAACATTATGGTGACACACCAGAGTTCAAAAGAGGACAAATTGTTGGTGCACGTCTTGTTGGAGCATCTGTGACCAAGACAGCAAGTCTTTGTGATGTATCAAGAGCCACAGTATCCAGGATAATGTCAGCATACCACCAAGAAGGACCAACCACATCCAACAGGATTAACTGTGGACACAACAGGAAGCTGTCTGAAAGAGATGTTCTGGTCTAAAACCAGGGGTTTCACTTTCATTGTCTAACCCCTGTAAAAGTGTAGAGGGTTAATAATGCAGTAGATGTTTCTACACTTTGACTGGTGTCCACCTGTAGCAAATGAAACTGACAGAAGAGGGTTTAAAAACACACTTCTATATAGAAATCTTTTCATCTGGTAATGCATACTGTATCGAAGCAAAAATGAGGTCCTAAGGTCAAAGGATATGCCCACAGAGCTCAGAGGTAAGAAGCTGGTGTTCAGCTGGTGTCTCAGCCACACTGAGTAATCCAGGGAGAGGAGCCTGAGTGAGAGAGGAGGCCAAAAACCTGGTGGTTGTGACCAAGCTTCAGAGATCCTGTGTGAAGATGGATCTCAGTTTCAGAAGGACAACCAGAACTGTCGACTGATCTGGTACAGATCTGGTACATTCTTTCAACATTTAGAGTGTTGAGGCTTTGGGGGATGTTTTTTTTTCAGGTAACCATGGTGACTTAAGGCACAGAAGAGGCTTTGCAACCTGTTGTACTTCCAACTGTGATTCTGAAGTCACAGCAGGCCACAGAGGAGACTGCTGGACCACACTATTCTATAGATATGACCCTGAACCGAAGGGACACTGGGCAAGCTCCCCTGAGGATGATTGACCCAGGACACTGGGGCACATTTGGGACACTTAAGTCAGCCGCCTTAGGCTGTTTGGCCATTGGGACATATGGCAATCAAAAGCATGGGGCACTTGGCAGTTGGGGGACACTGGGGCACATTTGGGACATTGGAGAACCTCAAATCTGGTTCAATAGGACACGGGGGAACAATCTGGACATCAAGGAACCCTACCCCTGGCTTCCTCAGGACATGGGGGACCAATTGGGACGCTTGAGGGCCAGGCCCCAGGCCTCTTGGGAAGCTTTAGAACAATTGGGACAGTGAAGGGCCAGGCCCCGGTCTTCCTTTGGACACATGAGAACAATCGAGACATTGAAGGTCCATGCCTCTGGTTCCTCGGGGCATTTGGGAACAAGTGGAACATATGAACTGGACACACGGGAACAATCACGTCATTTGTTATTACATTGTGACCAAGTGGCCATCGGGACATTGGAGAACCATAATGCTCCACTTGGTGGCCTTTTTGGGGTACTAAGACAATTAGGAACAATTTGCCGAAATTTCAATAATTTTTCACGGGCGAACCATGGGGGCCAGAAAGGCCGTCAGCGCGCTCCCCCTTGAGTGGGTCCCGGGTTTTCAGGCGCTTTGGTTCGGCCTGGGTGGGGTCGTTTCCGTTCGGCCATTTGGGTCGGTAATTTTTGAAATGGGGTGGTTGACAAGTGTCCGAGAGATTCCTAAGAGGGCTGGCTTAAAGTATCAACAACATCTTCCAATACCCTACCTAAAAGCCTGGCCCAAAGGGATCTGCAAAAACCCAGGTGTGCAAAACTTGTTACACCAAACCTTGAAAGACTCTAGGCTGGATCCTCGAGGTGTCATTTTATTCATCAAGAGAGAACTACGTTATTTAGAAACAAAACAGGCTTCAACATAATCAAATAACGAGAAGGAAAGGAAATCTGAATACCATCCTAAACTACTGTAATTACTTTGACTTACTGTAATAAATTTAAGTAGTGGTCTTTAATATGTTATTAGTCTAACAGATCATGTTTCAGATTTTTTTTACGACTAGTTTTATGTACATGTATTTCTTGAATTTTATTTGACTAAAACAAAATGTCAGAAGGACAATATGTCAATAAACAGTTACTAAGTAAATAAAATACTACATTTGCAACATAAATGAAGTGGATGCAAACCATGGAAACCAAACCTTAAGGACATAACCTGAAAGAACATTTGGCAAAAAATAAAAAGAAAGAAGAAAAACAACAACTAATTTTACAATTTCAGGCAACCACATTTAGCTTTGTAATCACCATCATTATTAAATTGGTCATCTGTACTATCTTGATGGTTTCTTCCTT